TGGGAGAGGCCAGGAGAAGGACGGAGGAAGACCAACAGACCACCCTCTGCCTGCAGACTGTGCTTACGGGGCTTGGAGGTGGCCGGAAAGGATGGGGTGACAATGGGGTGACCCAGGCCRCCCTCCGCTGGGCTATTATCACATCCCAGAAGCTGAAGAGCTGTGGGACATTCGCAGCCCGACCCTGCAGAGGGCTCTGAATGAAGGTCTGTCTACCAGAGCCCCACTGACCACGCCCCGTCCTGGAGCACGAACAGGAAGGCTCTTTGGAGGCGAATCCAGGTTCCCTTTCGCATTTGGTACCTACAGACCCATCAGGCCAGGGAAGTAAGAACCCCAGGCTCCCCAGAAAGAACTCCAGGCTCCTTCTAGCTCATGAGATTGACAGCTGTACAAGAGGAACTGCGAGAGTRGACCTTCCCGGACTGGATATTGCTTAAAAGTCCTACAAATTGAACCTGTCTCGTACCTCCCTTTCTATCTGGAAAACCTTGAAGTAGCACATTTCTTGGACATGAACTTGAGGGTATTTGGAGCACAGCCCAAGGGGACTGAACAGCACCACCCCCTTGAGATGAGGCATATACTGATATGCCCTGCTCCCCACCGCTCCCCATTGCCCCCCACGTGGCCAATTTGGTCACTTCCTTTCATCGCCCAGTACCCCGGAGCCTGCCGGGTTGTGAGCCTGTTTACCCAGTGTCTTCTGTGGCTCTCTCCTCAGTCCCCTGTCTCTAGACTGAGGTCGCCTGCCGCTGAAGGTGTACAAAGTCCTTGAGCCCTCCAGTGATGGAGCAGGGGGCCCGGGCCTAGGGTGCAGCGGAGCCCGCCAACCACCACCTCTGGTCTGCACTGCAAGGACAGGCCCTGCCGTTCCCCAGGCACAGCTCTTCCCTGCCTCAGGGCCTTTGCTTGCGCTGTGCTGTGCAGGCCACTCTCCACCCAAAGACACAGGTGGACARAGAGGCAGGGGGGACACCATTCATCTCTCTCTGTGGGCTGGATCACCTGCGCCAGGTCCCAGCTGGCGAGTCACCTCCTCAGCGAGACCAGCGTCCCTTGAAAGTAGGTCTTCCAAGCATCATCTCTTGACGGGTCTTGTTGAGGCGGTCATCCCAAGTTGTGAATCCACCGGATGGGCCCCTAATCAGCTGTCGCATCTTCCCTTGAGCCCAGGCGTCGGCCAGCAAACCCACTCCAGGTCACTTTCACCCAGTCTCGGGCCTCCCTGAAGCACCCCAGGCTCAGCGACACCCAGGCACCCTGGTGCACCTGCACAGCAGCCCCTGGGCTCCGCCAGGGCAGGGGCTCTGTCCACCTCACAGTGCCGGCCACACGGCAGGTCCTCCACACTCACCCTGACGGAGTCATGAGAGCTAAGAGCATTGAAGGTTTTTGATCAAACTTCCATCCCAGACCAAGGGGTGCTGGGAAAAAGGGGGGGAAAAAACAGCCGGGCGCGGCCCATGGGGAACATTTTCAATTTCATGTTTAGAGAGAGAAAGAATGACACGGTCTCAGCTCGTTTCCTTCTTATATAAAGAGGAGCTTAAAACCACTAAGCATGTGAAGGGGAAAAAAAAAAAAGTGAAGTTCTACAACGTGACAGATAAAAGGGAGAAGAGGCCACKGCCCCACAGCACAGCGGGGAGGATCCCGAGCGCGGGGAGCCCCAGACAGCCGCCACAGAAGCACCAGCAAGGGACACTCGGGGCTACGCTGCCCCTCGAGGACCGAGAGGGTGGGCTTTGAAGATACGACTACAGATTTTTAGAGCACAGCACGGGTTTCCAAAGGTATAGGCCAGGAGGGAGACGAGTCCTTGGGAGACCACGAACTTCACATGCAGAGGGCGGSCATCTTTTGAACTGTGCACCCAGCCCGTTCCCTTCTCTAGAACGTTCCATGGCCCCAGTCCCCGACGTATGGTGCAAAAGCCCTGCTGAAACCCGGCCCTGGTYACTCCCAGCAGAGCGACAGAGCCACGGGGCACCGGCCCAACYGCCCCTGCCCTGCGCCCTGGGCCGGTGGCTGGCATGCTGCCAACGGAATCTCCCTGAGAAGCAGGACTTGGGCCCCCGAGGGCTGGTGGCCGGCTAGAAGTGGGCAGCTGTGAAACTGCAGGGRTGGAGGGCTGCCAAAGGGCAGGGGCTATTTTCCACCTGCTGTCTGCACACCGGTCAGACGTCGGGGGGCTGCCTGCGGGGAGTCGGGGYGGTCAGGAAGCTGTGAGCCACGCTCCCGCCCCTCCGACCAGGGACAAGCTGCCCACCCACCCTGTCTAACCAGGGCCTGCTGGGGCGGCTCCAGKGAGGACGGGGTAAGTCGACACAGGCACCGCACTCAGAAGACAGCCTCGCGCATGGTGACTGCTCTCTGAGGACTTCTTATCATCTTGTGGCTCATGAGGGTGAGAATTTCCGGGAGCTAGGGCTGGGGTGCAGCTCAGTGGGACAGCACTTGCCCAGCACGTGGGAGGCCCAGGGCTACTCCCCAACTTCTCGAGAAAAAATAAAGATAAAAGCGCTCTCGRGCTTGTTCACACCAATCCCCAGAATCTAGCACTGCATCCGGTCCATAGTAGGTGCTCAACAAACATTTGTAGCACCATCAGTGGACGAGCCTAGCACACAGCCTGGAGCCTTGGGAAGAGCCTCCCAGCGCTCATCCCTGTGAAGCAGTYGAAGCGGGTCTTCAGAGCCTGAATCAGACCATGTGTCTCTCCTGGTCTCCTCCATGGCCCTGGCCTTGCCTGCTCTGCCCCTTGCCACTTCTCTTCCCTCCCCTCTGGCCCTTTATGCTCCAGTGACACTGGAATCCTCAAGTTCCTCTGGTGTGGTCTATTTCCCTCTGCCCCTGGGCATTTGCACATGCTGCTGCCACATGCATCCACAGCCCGGTCTCTTCCCCAGAGACTCTTAACTGATGTTCTTCCCTCCATTGCATGAATGCCTCTGTTTTATGTGCCCAAAGCTCCATGCACTTTTTCTTCATGCCACCTGCTGCAGCTCATAACCCTACCATTTGCAGAATTATTCAGACCAAGAGCTCCATGGGAGACCACAACTTCTTTTTCTTCCTTCAGCAGCAAGACCGTATAAGGGACAAACACAGTGTGTGCTCCACAAGTACTTCTGGGAAGCAGCCGCTTGTCCAACGGATTGGCTGAGCCAACAGACCCTGGGCCCCACTGCCCACAGYGGGCCCTCTTGACCAGATCTCCCGCTCTGGTTCTATGTGACCTCCAGGAACCTCTCAGATATTCCCCTTCCCCTGATCTGCCCTGAATGAGGTTCTTTCAGTGTTGCCACAGAAGCGTTGGCCCGAATACACATGCCAGAGCAGCCTGCAGGACCAGGGGTCCCCGCTAGATCACCAGTGGTCGGGAGGCTCTGAAGCAAGCTAGCCTTCCCGCCACAAAAACTACGCAAAGGACCAAAGTGCGCAAGAGCCAGCCCTCGCCGRGACCCACGGAGGAAAGTGCAGAGCTGAGTCCCTACTCGGCTAGAAGCCAGGGGCCTGCCCCACGGCCACCTGAACACGGAGTAAACCAGCTGATACAAGTCTACAACTCTGCTCTGTGTTGGTATCCCCAAGGAGAGAGTCCACCCACCAACTCGCAAACACGAGGAAAGACAGACTCCTGTGAGGAAGGACATCCAGGCCCGGGATCAGCCTCCAAGACGCGGCAGCRTCAGACTTAGGAAGAGCAGCTGCCAGGGTCTGTAAGTTCTTCTCACTGTCACACAAGTCCTTAGCCAGGGCACACACTCCAGGAGTCTATGAAGAGTCTGAGTCTGGGGACTTCTGTCATCTGTCTGTCTGTCTGGGCTCTATTCTGATTACAGTTTCTTTATTTCTTTCCTTTTTTTTGCGGGGGAGGGGAGGGGATACTGGGGATTGAACTCAGGAGTATTTGACCACTGAGCCACATCCCCAGCCCTATTTTGTATTTATTTAGAGACAAGTTCTCACTGAGTTGCTCAGCACCTTGCTTTTGCTGAGGCTGACTTGGAACTCACGATCCTCCTGTCTCAGCCTCCCAAGCTGCAGGGATTACAGGTGAGCGCCGCTGCACCTGACTCTTGTTACAGATTCTCATTAAGCAGCTCTGCAGGCTCGAGAACCTGTGTGTTTTAAGAACAGCTCTCAGGGTGCTCTCCACACTGTACATAAAGAACCAACTTCCTGTCACAGAATATTTCCACTTTAAGGCAAATTAAAAAAAAATAGTGGCATTAATTTAAATGTTTCGAAGATTCTGGTTAACTCAGCTGGTTGGTGGGCACCAGTGGTAGTCCCTGGTTAACCAGACTATATAATTAAGACTATTTCAACTCTAATTCTTTTGGAGGAAAAAGAAAACAGGTCTATACTTACTTGAGGGGAAAAAAAATCAGATTGAAAACCACAGACATAAAGGATACTAATTAGGAAAAAAAAAGGGGAAATGCTCTCGTGGTTGTAAAGTTCTTAAATCCTTACAAACTACAGGTTCGCTCCAGCATCAAGCATGTGGATACACAGTCCCGGAGGTTGTGAATAGGAAAGAAGACAACAGGCAAGCCATCAAAACACTAGTCACCGTCACTTTAGAGAATGTCGTTTTAATTCTTCCTTTTCTGTGTGTATTTTTCAAGCATAAATCATTTTTCCTTGATAGACTCACATCTGATACCCAAGATGACGACACCAGGAACCGTCTGCCAACACCAACCTCGCCAAAGCTCTACCTGCTTCTCACTCAGAAGAAAAAGGGAAGACTTCTCCCCGGCCAGAGGATCYCCTTTATCGCCGTCTAGCTCAGGAAGGCTTCCCCTCGCCCCTGCGGGCCGGCCGAGCGTCTGACAGCGATCCAACCTCAAGTTTCTCACCCCTCACGAGAGCAAGGGGCTGAGACCCGAATGTCGGCCAGCCTCACAGCCACAGCAGCGGCTCGGCAGAAGCGAACCACCTGGGACACACGCGGGAGGCAAAGGCAGGAGAAAGTGAGTCCATACCTGAACCACAGGGTGGCCTCCTGTGGGGGCTTTGACGGCCCCTCGGCTGCCCTCCGTCTCATAGTGGGCCCGGTGATGTGGCTTGGGCTGCACCTCAATCCGCAGCTCATAGGAGCCCGACTGATTGGAGAGTGGCCACTCGAGGGGCGGGAGGGACGCGGTCACTGGGATGCTGGAGGAAGAAAAGCAATCAGTCACGGGCGCGGTAAACCAGAATCAATCCCCTTGTACAATAAACATAAATGGCCCCTTTTTTTCCCCCCCTGAAAACTGAATCTGGTGGATTATGAATTAAAACAGTATTTGAAGGGCCACGTGTTGCTTGGACATGACCGCAGCTCATTAGGACGTAGAGCTTTTCCTTTGCTTTCTTGTCCATCCTGATGAGGACATTGTGACCGGCCTCTCAATGCACGAGGCCAGTGGCACGCTATGTTAGTTCTGTTTCTAACCAYGCTCCTCACTGCCGTCACTGCTTCTCCTCTGGGGACTTTGAAGAAGAGCRCCTCCCACCTCTCAAAAACACCCCTTTGCAAAGATGCGTTCCTTTTTCAGAGGGTTGACGTAGGAGAAAGAATATTGAAGTGGCAATCAGGAGAGCCACACGTCACGAACGTGCCCTGGGACTTCACCTCCCTTATTCCCAGTCTCTGGAACCACGTGGCACACATGCTGGCCAGCAGCTGAGAGTTCTCACAGCTCCTCCTTCTACCCATGATGAGCTCAAGTCAACGTACACTTGGGGAAGAGGCCATTCCCAGCCATGGTCACGACTTATGAGGTCAGTGAGGAATGGGTCCTTGRACCACAGAGATGCCCTGATATTACGTGGGGGGTGAGCCTCAGTAACAGGACTGGAGTTACAACCCAGTTCAAATCCCAGCTCCACCTCCAGCCCTAACTCGGAGCCTCTGCTGCCCTAGACCTTAGGGTCCTCACTTGCAAAGTGGGGACGTGGAGATCACATAAAGAGCATGACACAGAAGGTGCTGATAAACGTTGGCTGTCATCGTTTTTACCGTCACATATCGTATGAGACAAGCAGTTATCTCCAGGAGACCCTCTGCCACGGACATGGCAGCAGCCACACAGATGCCCCCGGGGAGGTCTTGGTGGGCAATGTCTTAAGTTTCATTTTCTTACAGAGTCTCAAGACCACCTGGAACAACAGCACTTGACAGACGTGTAGAATGGCATCACTAAAGAGCTGACCAAGGTCTTGAAGATTGGCTAGAACATCCCTTCCATCTCAGAGAACGTGAAGGCGCTTCCCCAAGATCATGGAACAGGACGAGGACGAGGCTCCGTTTCCAGTCTCCTGACTCCAAGGCCGGGACATCAGGGCTCGCTGCCTCATACCTTGCTAATTTATTTAAAATAAATCCAAGACACTCTCATTGACAGCATGTCTCTAGAACACCGGACGTTTGATATCCCATTGATCTGGGAATCTGTAGTGGTGGGTGGAGGATGCATGTTGGATGGTCAGGTCGGTGACTGAGCACATGCACACCTTTATTTCAAAGGAGGCCTGAATACTCTTGCAGTCTTGGAGTTGCCAAGGCCAAGATTTGTGCCCCTGTGTCCCGATTCCTCCTGTAGGACAGAAACCCTTAAACTGATCTGCGTATTCTTTCCCACTGAGCTTAGGGCTGTGAGGAGCTGGCATTAGCAGAGGACTTAGTTAAGCACCTGCAATGAAGCCAGTTCCTCCCTCCTCTGCCTTCTCAGTGCCCAGGGGAGAAGGGCAGAGGTGGGAGCACAGCCCCACGGGCTCCTTCAGTGCCAGAGCCCAGCCAAAACACACACTCCAATTTGGCACCGCCCCGTACTATGCAAGAAAGCCCCCCCCCCCGTTCCTCCTACCCAGACGCCTCCTGGGCCTCATTACCCCCAGTGTTAGGGTGTCCAAAGGACCTTTATTTCCACCTTGTGACAAAACCAAGAGGCCTTCAAGCTTCTGCATGGAGCCACCAAGCCACACGTGTCGGACGCTCTTACTAACTGCCAGCGTGTACGCCAGTGGGAATGTTTTAAAGTTTGCAAAATAAGACCAAAAAAATCCCTTTAGTCCTCCATTAATAGCTAAGATTCACTGGAATACCCACAAGTTCCACTTCATAATTCTGAAATAGGGTCTGACCCTGACATAGACTCCTAAGAAGTGGACCTCTGGAGTGGCCTGCCCTCCTGCACTTCAATCCCAGGCTCCTCTGACCTGTCCTCAGCTGTCCTCCTGAGACCAAGGTCACCAGGAGCTTCTCCCTGGATGCTCCATTCTCTCCATCCCACAGAACATTTCTCATTGGCTGGAACAGATGGGGTGTTGCTCGGGTCTAAAGGACTCCGACCCTCAGAGCCTCTGAGGTCAGGCTGCAGAGATGGAAAGGGAGGGTTGACCCACCATCAGGTCTCAGACCTATCAGTTCGCATTTCAAATCCAAGTTCCTCCCTCTCTGGGCCATAAATCAAGTCGTGGTTTTGAGACCGATCTGTAGCAGGGAAACCAGCATCAGGGACCCCAGGTTCCAGTTCCCAACTCGGTCACCCACTAGCTGGTAACGGTGCGCGTGTCACTTCTCTGCTGTGAGCCCAAGTTTCTGTCTGTACCAGGGCCTGGCCTTCAGGGCATTGCCTAAAGTGGCCCTGAAAATCTTCAGGCACAGACCTCAGGGCGCTGTCACCACAGGGCCTTTGAAATCACTGCCCACTCCGCCCACCTCGAAGGCCCTGAGAAGGCCTGCAGGGGCCCCGGGAAACTCCTCTTCCAGGAAACACCAAGTGACCCACTGTGGCCCTGGCGTCCGCAGAGCCTGCTCTGGAGGACAGCCACACTGCACGCTCCCCGTGGTCAGCTTTGGTCGGGTGTAGGACTGAGCAAAGCCACGTGGGCAGGGTCCTTAGCCACCCTCATCCCCGCGTCAACCAAAACAGCTCTACCAGGGTGGGGTGGCTCTGTGGCCAGGGCTCACCAGCACGCACAGGGCCCTGCGTTCCATCCCAGAACCACGAAACATAAACAAATAAATAAATAAACAAAACCCCAGCTCTACCTGGACCCACCGTGACTGTCAACTCATTCTTTCCATTTGCTAACACAAATCCCACTTTGAAAGCCACAGGGACAACCGTGACAGCATGAGCCTTCCCGTCCTGCACCCCACAGACAGAGCAGAGAGGACTCTCTGCCTCGCCTGTCACCTCCTTTTTTTTTGGTCTGGAGTGCTTGACCACTGAGCCACGTCTCCAGCCCTTTTTGTTCTTTGAGACAGGGTCTCACTAAGTTACTTAGGGCCTCTCTAAGTTGCTGAGGCTGACCTCAACCTGCAATCCTCCTGCCTCAGCCTCCTGAGCTGCYGGGATTAGAGCTATAGGCCACCACACCCAGCACCTCCTTTTCTTTAACATCCAAATGAAGATTTAAAAAAAAAAATTCCAAATAATACCAAACCAGGTTCACGTGAAATAACTGGGTCCTTAGAACTGTGCTGACACATGGCAGGCATCCTTAAATGTGGGTGGTTATCAATGTCATTGTCCCTACTCTGAATGTTGGTAGCTATCAATGTCACCATCAGTACTCTAAAGCCTACAGTGAGCTCAATCTCCTAGCACAAGGCTTTTCAAAGAGGAAACACCTGACTTATAAGAATAACATTTCCTGAATAGCAGCAGCAGCTCCTTTCTGAGCTCTTACTTTGTGTTGGCTCTATGCCAAGAGTTGGACGAGTGTCACTTTACCTAGTCCTTGAAAAAGACCCTATKAGGTAGGTACCATAATTATCCTTATATCTCTGGGAATGAACCAAGGCCAGAAAGGGCTCAGTAAAAGTATGAGGAGGCTGGGGCTGGGGATGTGGCTCAAGTGGTAGCGCGCTCGCCTGGCATGTGCGGGGCGCTGGGTTCAATCCTCAGCACCATATAAAAATAAAAAAATAAAGATGTTGTATCCACCAGAAACTAAAAAATAAATGTTAAAAAAATTCTCTCTAAAAAAAAAAAATTAGGGGTCCTGATTGATTAGCGATGTCTGATCTGGGCATAGCATCAAAAGGTACTCAGTGAGAAGGTGGAGATTGATTAGCAATGTCTGCCACTGACACAGCAACAGCCCAGCAGAACCAGCGATACCAGGATCTCACAGGGGCAGCAGGGCAGAACTGGGGCTCAAACTCAGTCCTCAGGGATCCCAGAGCCAGATGCTGCTCTCTATATGCATCTCTCCAGCCTACCAAGATCTTAAGCCCCTGGAGGACTGTGGCATTTGACTTCTTCCAGGGCTTCCATGGTACTGAGCCTAACACTGAAGACGTGGCAGACGCTGAGGAAACTGGCTCCTGTTGAGATGAGAGGGGCTTCACATAGGAAAGCTGGCTCTGTGCCCCCCGAGTGTCAGCTCCATAAAGGTAGAAATCTTCTGTCTAGTAGTCTGGCACACAGTAGGTCCCTGATAAATAGCACCCGGGTGATTGAACCCAGGGGTGCTGAACCACTGAGCCACATCCCAGACCTGTTTTGTGTTTTATTTGGAGACAGGGTCTCACTTAATTGCTCAGGGCTGGCTGAGTTGCTGAGGCTGGCTTTGAGCTTTCCATCCTCCTGCCTGCGCCTCCCCAGTCTCTGGGCCCCTGCACCCGGCTGACAAATAGTTTTGAATGCGTGAGTGAGGTGCCACCTGTCTGGGCAYAGTGTGGCATGGCTGTACCTCCTCACCACCCCTGGTGGGCCGCGCACCAATTCCTCCCACTTTACAGATGGGGAAACTGGGGCTGGGAATTCAACTTGCGTCTCGGCGCCTCCAGGCTGGCAGGTGGCAGAGCCAGGATTTAGGTCCACTCCGCCTGGCTCCAGCTTCCCCGCCCACAGCCCCCCACACCCASCCAGCTCAGCCGCACCCTCGGGGACCGACCAACCTCGGGGACCGACCACCCTCGAGCCCGGCTCACCTGCAGATGGGAATGGCCGGCACCAGCTGCTTGGGCCAGGTGGGCGACACCAGCAGGATGGACTCGGGCGCCGAGTTCCTGCGCTCCTCCTGCTCGCAGGGCCCCAGGAACTCCACGGCCGGGTAGAGGTGGCGGGGCAGGCCGGCCTTGGGCGGGGCGGCCGCCACGGGCGCGGGGTCCGGGCTGGTCTTCCACATCTTGGGGGGGATCCCGCAGGGCGAGTCCGCGGCGAGGCTGCTGAGCGCGTCCATGAGCACGGCGGGCCCCGCGGGGCCGAGTGCGGCCGGGGGAGCGCCGTCCCGGGGCGCCGCGTGCGGGGGCTGCGGCGAGGGGCTGCGCGAGCGCTGGGGCGAGGCTGCGGGCCGCGGGGCGACCAGGGCCTCGGCGCACGAGTGCCTCCGCTTGGCGCCGGGCGACGAGGAGCGCGAGGCCGGACGCGGCACGGGCGAGTGGCGGCCCTGGCAGCTGTCGTCGGCGAGGCTGGTTCGAGGTGACATTATTGGCGAGGTTCTGGGGGAATAATGAGCAGGGATGTTTTGAAACTGCGGACACAGGTCGTCGGGCGCGCCGTTATTGGGCGAGACGCAGGGCGAGGTGTAGGGGGAGAAGGTGTCGGAAATGAAGCTGGCAGAGGAGCCGCTGCTAGCGGGGCTCAAGCAAAGCGGCTCGCGGTAGCCCTCGAAGCCGGGCACGGGCAGCGTGAACCTCGGGCCGGCCGCCGGCGGCTCCACCAGCAGGGCGCAGTCCCGGGCGCGGAGGGACCCCCCTGCCTGCATCAGTTCGTGGGACGGAGTGATCTCGATCCGAGGGCTCAGGCCCGAGGCCCCCGCTGGCTTGGCCGGGCTCAGAAAGTTCGGGGGCCCGACCCTATCCGGCTCTGCAAACCGGCCGGGGGGCTCGCCCGGGAAACTGGCCCGGGGGCTGTAGGGCTTGGGGCCATAGTCCGGGACATCATCGGGGTAGATTCCGGAGTGTGGGCTGACGACCTTATGTGCATTCGGTTCTTCTGGAAAGAGAAGGGGGAGGAGGGTCTTATAAGCCTCTAAAACAGAAGTCCCCTGCGAGCCACCAATCACAGGCTGGGTCGCCTCCTGTCACTTCATTCTGCTCAGCACCCCGCCCACACGGAACCCCTGGCTAGAGCGGTGCAGCCACACCTGGAGGTGAGGCCATCCGTCCCAAATCCCCTGGAGAGAGAGGGTAGGGTTGGTTCCAGACCCACGTGGCCGTGACATGGAAGACCAGCGGGGCTGATGCTCCCGGCGCTGGTTTCAATGGAAACCTGAGAAGAAATGCSAGGGTCTCCCACCACGTTCACAGCGCCCACACACCCCGCTGAAATGACACCCTGCTACCCAGGATGCGCTCTGAGCCTCCTGGGGCTATTTGGTGTCATTGCCGGTTGGGACCCATTAAGCAGACTTCGTGCCCCTCAGAGCTCTGCATCTGAACCCTAGGTGATCCCACCGAGCGTAAGAAGTGGCCGATTCAGACCAGGAACAGAGCCATGGTATCTGTGCCGGTCACCTAGGCATGCCCATTCCCCACCTCACACTGTCGCCTAATTCCAAGCCTAAACCCCCCTGGACAGACATCCTGTCTCACTGACCTGCGCCCTCCACATGGCACCCTGCACAGCCCAGCGCACCCGCCAGGTGGGAGGTTCCTGGGCAGGGGACCTGCTTGTCCCACCACCCTCTGGCCCCACTGCCCCTCCAAGGCCCCCCAGCTCCACCTTCTCCACCAGGGACTAGGGTCAGCCTGGGCTCCTGGGCGCTGCCCYGTACCAGCTCTCAGCAAGTCCTCAGTGCTCTGCTGCCAACACACAAACCAAACTCAAACGTCCCCCCACCCATCAGGCCCACCCTGGTCCAAGCCCCGCTCTGCTCCCCCCTGAACTCTGTGGTCACCTCCTCTGGTCTCCCCATGCCTTCCCTCTCCCCCTCCAGGCTGGTCTCCAGGCCATAGCTAATGAGACGWCCATTCTAGAAACCCTTCGTGAAGGCCTCCCTGACCCTGTAGACAGGCCCTAAAGCATTGCCCAGCCTGGTCCCACGGTTCCCCAAGCTGACTCAGCAGCAGCCCGGCAGTCAGCGTCTGTTGTCCAGCAGYGCCTGACTCAGAGCGCTGGAGGCACAGCTCCTCCCCTGAGACCTTTCCCKGGCGGCTTCCCTGGATCCCTTGATGTCTCTGCTCAGCCAGCATCTGCCTCGACCATCGGCAAGATCACCTCCACCCCCTCACCTGCCACCTCTTCTCCACTGGCACCTTCTACCAGCTCACATCACATCAGACACCTCTCTGTTTGGGGAACTCATCCTGCTAAACCCAGAGAGGCCAACTAGGGCCCACAAGCCAAATCTGGCCCACAGACTGCGTCTGTGAATAAAGTTTTATTGCAACACAGCCACGCTGGTTCATTTACATGGGGCCTGGGGCTGGGATTGGCGGGGAGGGGGGGGCACCCAAGCTCAGAGTTGTGGCCATGCTGACCACAGGGCCTACAATATTTACTATCTGGCCCTTTGTGGAAGTCTGCGACCCTGCCCTGGACAYTAGGCTCTGCCAGGGCTGGACTGTGTCTGTTGTGGCTCCGTGCTGTTTGCCAAGCTCCTACCACAGTGCCTGGCACTGGCCAGCCCTCCACTAACACTGGTGGAGTGGTTGAGAGAATAGATGAGTGGGGAATGGTGCCCGGCCAGCGGTGGACCTCGTCCTGAAGCTGCCAGCCTAGCTCATGCCGGGGACTGAGCGTAGACACTCAGGGGATCCTCAACCTCCTTGTGCCCTTTTGGGGTCACCCTGGAGGAAGTGCAGTCTAGCTTAGCTGAACTGATCTCAGAGGGTCTGTAGGTGACTCCACTTCRGGTAAAAGTCCCAAAATGGCTTCCCACAGCTCTCGGGGTACAGGTGAATGGCTTCCATTAGGCCAGCCTGGCCGGGGATCTCCTAGTCCCTCCTCTCCCCACTCTCTTGCCTCCCTCTCTCTGGACACCAGCTAAACTGAACTTTGTGGGAAGCACCTCCTTCCTTCCCACCCCAGGACCTTTGCATGTGCAGCTCCCTCAGCCTTGACAACGCTCCTCACCCCTTCTCCACACATCCAAAGCTCACTGAGGCCCACAAGCTCCACCAGAGTGCCACGGGCTCTCAGAAGCTTCCTGGCTTCTTGACTGGCTCAGGCCGCTGCCTACCCTGCACTGTTCCAAGTTCTAGTGAGATAACTGTGGGGTCATCTTATCATCATCTGCCTGCCCCCAACCCATCAGTAAAGGCCATGAGGGTTCTCTTGCCCYACACTATCTCGAGCACCCAGATGGGACCTGCCACAAAGCAGGGGCTCAAAAAAWTTTTTTTTGTCAGCTGGTTGAAGTTCAAAAAAATCTCTGTGGGACACTGGAACTCAAGATGCTAATATCCAAACCAAAAGACAGACAGCAGCAACCTCGTCTAGAGAGGATGATGGAGTAATATCTGTCAAAACTCCAGGCACACATGCCCTGGGGACTGAGCAATGCCACTCTTAGAAATTGATCCTGCAGGGACACTCTCATCTGTGCAAAATGAAGTGTGCATAAGACGGTTCCCAGAGACCTGTCTGTTATCAAGGGCTTGGAAGCAAACTGAAGTCCCCCCTGTGGGAATGGCCTAGATCCTGGTTCCTTGTGCATGGATATGGAGCAGCACTAAGACTTAGCACTGAAGAAGAAAGGTGGTCTGGAGACAGTGTGCACGGGATGAAAAGGGTGGGTGAGAGAAGGCACACACACGTGTGCATGCACGCGCGCACAGTGCACAGATCACTTGGTTTTCTGGAAGTTACAGGTAGCAATGACTTCCCGCAGGAAGAGGCTAAGTAACCAGGGATGGAGGCAAGCAGAAAGGAGACTTTCCTACCTCTGCATTACGTACAGAAAAGGAATATAATGCCCCAGCATTTTAAAGATTTTACTTTACGGGCTGGGGGAGGGGGAGGGGACAGAACATCATATGTGGCAACGGAACCCTGGCTTACGAAGCAGGAAACTGAAAATCAAGTCCTGCTTTGCCACTACCTAGCTGGGTGACTTTGGAAAAGTCCCCCACCCACTCTCGGCCTCCAGCTCCTCATTTTAGAACAGAGTGGTGTGAAACGGAATCCATCTCCTCTGTCGCTTCTGGCTCTGAGGCCCTCTGATTTTTCTAGCTAGAGTCTGTGGGGTCTGGAGTTCTTGTGAAGTTGCAGCCAGGGTGAACTTGTGTTTGAACTTGTGCACACACACGCAAGCACGCTCACACACATGTGCAGGCGCGCGCACGCGCGCGCGCGCGCACACACACACACACACACACACACACACACACACTCGCACATGCCTTCCTGGCAGGTAAGAGAGCAGAAATCTGTAATCAAGGGGAAGATCAGCGCCAAATCCATGTCCAACAACACTCTGAGAGTCCACCGCTCTGCAAACCAGCAAAACTAAGCCTCTTAGCAAAAATTCTGACCTTATCAGAAAAAACTGCACTGCAGCTTATCAGAAACACCCCGGGCTGCTGTGGGCAGTCCCAGAAATGCAGGCACAAAGCATAAGTCACTGCCGCTCCCCGGGAGCCCCGAGAAACAGCCAAACAGCCGGCTTTACTGCGCTCTGAAGTGTCGAGCATTTGCACTGGTTTTAATTAATCCCCGCGGCAGAGTCTTGCTGCCTTTTTCCCTCCCCTCTCCCCAAGACTGAATTTGAGCGGCAGGCGGGGAGGACGGCGGTAATTAATAACCACCGGCTTCTCCGTCCTCTGGGTTTTGGACAGCAAGTCTCACAACCAGCGCATCAGTGAAATATTTCCTGAAGTAGCCGAGATTTCTCCTGGGGCTGCGGCACCCTGGCACGGCCGTCCCTGCGCCCACCCCTGCAGGAGCTGGCTGTCTCTCACCACCCCGGGTCCTCGGGAGACGCCAGAACCCTTGCAACCCCAGAAGATATTACTGACTTAATATTTCTATTTAAATTCATTCGCATATTAATTTTGCTGTATTTTAAAAGGAAACTTCATACTGCTACCACAAATGGAAAATCGGTGTCACCTCCATAAACGGCAGGCAGGGTAAAAATACAGCAAAAAGAGAAGTTACCAAATTCAAGCAAGACTCGGGGCCGGTCTCGGCAGCTGCACCGCCCACGTTCTGTTTATGGAGGTCTCACATATATACAGCTGTTGACGGGAGCGTGCAGATGTTGAGCATAGGGCCCACCAGCTCTGTCCAGGGTTAGCCCCCTGGTKACTGCCACCACGATTGAGAAGTGACCCGTTCCCACCACCCCATGAAGTCCACCTGCGTTCAGCCCCCATCACCGAGACCCCACTCCTGATGAGTTCCAAAGAGAAGACAGCACCAGGAAGGACACAGCGCGATCTCGGGCAGCGTCCCCACCTAAAACCATCTCACCTGCCACGGGAGCTACCTGGCCCGCCCCCCGAGATATGGGTGCCAAAAGGCAGGAAGAGGCGGACGCAGCGATGGGAGAGGAGGTGGCCTCCCGGGTCTGGTGTGCCTTCATGACTTTGCACGGGCTGGTCCTCTTGCCAGCAGGCCCTTCCATGCCTCCTGCCCTGCAGCTCAACTTGAGCCACCTCCTCCTGCAGGCCCCCCGCTCCCCAAGCTGCACGAGGCAGGTCTTCATGCTCCCAGATCCGCAGGGTCCCAGGCTGAAGTCCATCTCGGGAGTCACTCTCCTGTCTCCCCTGGACTGTGGGCTTTCTGAAGGGGGGTGGGGCCCCTGGAGAACTCACGGGCGCTGCGGAAGGCACGCTCCRTGGGGTGGATCATCTGATCCCCCGACCCTATGTGAGGGGGTACAGTTTGTCCCCCTTTTAAGAGAGAAGACTGAGACACGGAGAGGTGAGTTAAAGAACCCAGGCAGCCGCAGTGCACCCACCCCAGCCRGGGATACTCGACCTCCGAACTCTGCTGTGGGCCCCTGTGGCCTCCGACAGCATCCCTGGCCTCTACCCCCTGAGGCCAGT